AAACACACATTTAGTCCCTATTTTCAAAGATTAACTTGGAGCATCCCTTATTTCGTAAAAAGGTGCACACTTCGCCCCTGATACGTGGTTTTGTTGAGAATTTTGTCCATGTCGGATCTGAAATGACGATAATGGCCTTTGTGTATTTCTTTTCCAATTAATTTAGCCATTGTCCATTTATTTTTGATTTATTTTTAGGCTGTCATTATTGTCATTGGTCCCACCCTTATCTTTTTTTCCCTCTTCCTCATCTTTTTTCCATTCAACAACCGTAAATCACCAACCTACTACATGTAGGATCCCATGGAAGATGACAAATGTGAAATTAAGAATCAATGCATAATCAATAAGACTCGATCTAAAGTTTAAGCACAATTTGTATAGATAAATGAGAAGTACAAAATGTAGAAGCATGTGCTTGCTTACTAAACTACTACTCTCTCTCTCTCTCTCTCTCTCTCTCTCACTACACAAGAAATATATAAAATGGGCGCTCTCTCAAACCTATACATGGTACACTATACAAGTATATATAATAAACCTTAACTCATAACCCATATCAAATAATGGAAAGCCTAAGACACCATCCATTGAAGAGCTTTGCATCCAAACATTCTCCCCCCTCAAATCTTGGAATGGATGACCCTCCTTTAATTTCCAAAAAGAGCAACTTTACGAACAAGACCTAAAGCATGACAAATATAGAAGCAATCAAAAAATCTTCAAGTCTTCAATGATCTTCTAACCTAGGTTCTAGAATGTAAGACATTACTATCCAAAGCAACAAGAACCAAGAGTAAATTTAAGGTCAATGAGTATCCAAACCCAAGGAAAACTACACATCCTTGAGCTTAAAAACACACCCCAAAAATCTTCTTTAAGAGCCAACCATTCATAAAATCGAACCATTTCATAAAATCAAATCCAAGTCACTTCATAATCAACTCCCCCTCAAGGTCACATCGGTCTTCAATCATAAATGATCATTCGCCAAATTTGAATATCCAAAAACTTCCGATTTTGAATACCCATATCATAATCTCTTCACCTTTTATAATTGAAATATGATTATAAAACTCCAGATGAGAATGAGAAAGTGCTCATTGTGGATTTGGCAATACAATCCTCCCCCTCGCTTGGGACAACAAATAACTCGAAGCATCAAAACCGAAAACCACATTTCGTAATCTTGACTTCCCGGAACACTTTTCACCCGAAAATGAACAAAATTTGTTCATGTTTCATGAAAACGTTTTGCAAAAATAACAATCTTGAAATCCCAAAAAAAAACTCCAAAAGTTGTAAAGATTTTAATGACTAGATAAGAATTGTCATTCTTCTTAAACTTTAGGGACCAAATGTGAAAATTTTGTTATCTTCTTTCCCGAAATTGGTTCCGGATGCAAACAACGAATGCATACTTCCCACACCTAACAAACAAATGCGAAACACAGGCTTCCCATACGAAAATCTTTTTCATGTTCAAATTTTAAGAAAAGAAGAGAAGAGAAGAAAGTAAAGAGAGAAAAGAAGCAAAAAGAAAAGAAAACAAATTTGTCTTTTGTGCTTCCGAATTAGAGAGAAATAGAAAGAAAGTTAAACATTTTATTATTTCTTTTCAAATCCTCCCAAATCCAAAGGAAAGTTAGGAGGGAAAATGATTCTTCCATTTCCTTCCAAATGAAACTCGGGAGTATCAATCTCTCTTACTTTCCTCTCATTTCTATCAATTTCCTTTCTTTCATCTTCTTAAGTTGAACTCACGAACTGGGTGTAAGCCTCTTCTCATCAAACCTTTGACTTCCCATCCAACCATTCATTTCCCATAGTTATATCTTTCTCATACGAACAAAAAGCTTCCCAATCTATATGGGAATCAACGATTCCCATCCAACCTTCCTAATCGACACTCAATTTTCGCACAATCAAGATCTAGATTTCAGACTGAGAAACTTCCATTTCAAAGTGGGAACCAATTGATTGCAAAACTTTGACTCCAGTCCATATACAAGTCATATGTGAACGATGAAAACATCAATTTTGACTTTTCATTGACCAGAAATTATGAGACTTCAGCACTGATAGTTCTCGACCATTTAACAACGAATTCAGCTCTAACCCTTCTTTATCTGCCTTCGTATTCTCATTCGGTACCCCGATCACTGCCGAAGCAACATCCTCCACATTCGATATCAATTTCATTGATTCCCAACCAAATTTAAGAATCGTTCATCACTAGGAGACTTTTTCACAATCCAAATCAATAAAGAGTCAAATTCAACTAAGAAATAAACTTCACACGGTGTAAGACCATAACAATTACGAGACCATCACTTTAGATTGTGAGAAACAGGAACTCAGATTGGGAGAAACAGGAACTGGTTGATTTCTGCCTGGAAAGCAAACATCTCTGCATCAGCCATCCATACTTCCGCCATTGTAGTCTTATTCGCAAACGAAAACGATGAAAGATTGTTGTTCTTCATCATTTAGTTCACATTCACAGCACTTCAATTTTGACTTTCAACATTGACCATAAAACTGATAATCGACAAACATCAACTCAATTTTTAGATCTAATACACCATTTTAACTATTATTATCCTGTTCGTTTATCTATTCTTGACCATTTATCATCAAGAATCATCCCAAATGTTCACTGTGTTCGTCAATGAGTTCATCACCATCGTCATTGAATTTTTTTTTTTTGTGTGTGTTTTACATTTAAGCCAAAATCAGACTCAACAATGATCAATTAAACCAAATCGGTGAAAGATCATGACTGATTATGATTTAGAAAAAAAATCGATCATAAAAATGTCAGTGAAGAAATGATTTGTGAATGTACAAAAAAAAATCTATGAATCAATCAACTCGAGAATAAAATCGAATGGCTTCTGCTTCAAATAAAAATCTGATCATGATAATCTCAACAATTATGAGAACAACTTGAATTTGCAACCAAATTCGATCTTAAACAACAAACCACAAGACGACAAAAAACAAGAAGCACGAAACGACGTCAATTTTTGGATTTGGGCTCGATCAAAGCAATTGATGAACAGTAACGAATCACTTTGTTTTGGACTCAAAAATATGAATCAATGATTTGGGCTTAAAAGTGGTATCAACTAATAGAAAATGTGATTGGGCTCAAATTTGGATCAGATAAACAGTAGTAAATTGAATTTGAAATTTTGGCCAGGAATTAAATCCGATAAATAGTAAAAGATCAAAAGAGTTTGGACTTGATTTTCGAGTAAATCGGATCAAATTTTGGGCTAAATCAAAGGTTAATACGATCAACAAATTTATATACATATACTAAAAAACAATACTGGAGATTTTTTTTTAATAAGTGAAAAGGGGTTTTCATTTTTTATTTTTTCAAAATTGATAAATGTTATATTTCATTGTCATCACGTTTTTTTACGAGTTGCTCACACGTGTTATATTTCCTCTATAGATTTCTGGCCTTGTACATTTTCACTTTCTTTCCCTTCCATAACTCATTCACCCCTCGAATACCCCTCTTCCACAGTCTATTCAAAAACCCTATTATCGCTCTGATAGTTCTCGATCGTACCAAAGATATCACGAGGGGGGTGTTTCGCTTAGCTTCTTAAACCCCAAAAGTTCTTTTTGGAAAAGTTACAAAAAATCAGGATTTCCTAATTTTTCCAAAAAATTAGTTTTCCTTGTATAAAAAGTCCAAAAGTAGCTTTTTAAAACTAGTTTACAAAACATCTTTTGCTATTTTTTCTTTTCCAAAAAGGACTTTTGACGGGGTGCTGCCGTCACCGTCGTCGGGGGTTTTCGATCCTAACTGTCGGCAACCATCACGCCCCTCAATTCTCCACCTTCATTCTTCTTTATACACTGTGCGAGGTCGTCAATCGATTTCAACCACAAAGAAAGTAGATTTTCATCACTCGATGATTTGTTCGCTCTTATCTCCTTCTTTATTGGTTATATAATATGAGTATATAACTATTGTATAAACTAATAAGGAGCTTATTGTTTAAAGAACGTCCTGTCAGAGTTTGAAATGAAACAAGATTTTGTGTCCTGTATTGTAATTACCAAAATGAAATTCACTTGACAGATAATCAAGTGTTTCACAATAGAAAGAAACACACTCAAATGGGGTCAATGGTTGTGTTTAAATAGATCCCATGTACATCTTATAACCCTAATGCAAAAAGCGAGTATAAAGGCTATCCTTATAATAAAATCTCTTTTTAGTTTATCAGTGAATTAGTCAATCATTTAGATCGTGTGAGCCACGTTAAATTAATGCGTTTTTTTTCTTCACAACTTTAATTGTCGTGTGTGTGTGTTTATCCCTTCTTAATCGTAACAAGATCATCAATAAAAATAGTCATTCACTCGAGTAGATACTTGATTGCCAATCTTACCTTTTCATTGGCCCATTTGATATGCTATTAGGTTTGGTGATCATGATGATTACGGTTAAATAACCTCGCTAAAGGTATCTTCTTTCATTATCCTAAAATTAAACTTTATTGAGGTTTATTTTTATAATTTTTTGTTTCTTCAGTTAGTATATATCATTGTCTATTGTTCAATGAAGTTTGACTATTTATATATAGGAAGTAGTAAACAATCAACTAACATATTGCCAGGTGCTAATTGCAAAGGAAGTAGTTTATACCAAATTTATTCTAATTTTTAATTTGACCACTTAAGTTTGAGAATCATCAAAAACTAATTAAACTTTGCAAGGAGATATAATGATGATATGAAATGTCGGTAACAATGGTCGTAGCCTTTATGAAAAGTAAACAAGATAGTCAAATAACCCTTTTTAAAGGGAATCCAAAAAAAACATCAACATTCATCAATAAATCTAATTAGGTGGCCAGAAAGTTGAATTCAATTCGATTCAATTCAATACGATGCAGACGCCGTTCAAAAAAAAACTACGATGTAGACCAACATATAACCACTTTGTATTATTTTACAATTTTATTGCTGCATATCTTAATCATAAATACTCTTCATAAATATTAAATGCTTTAAATATGCTCTTTCAACTATAAAACAAATAATAACCGAATTCTATCGACCAAAATCACTAAAAGCGTACACGACTATATCATACACAGTAACATAAAGATCATTAGCCATTCAAAAAAAAAAGATAAAGATCATTGGTTCAAATCCGGCATCTTTTGCATCATTAATATACTGATGACAAAAGATTTAGTTCACTACTAACTACGAGAATGAATATCTGTCTTGGGGAGAAAACAAACATCATATTTGCTTAGCCTCCTTTCTTTATTTGTCCTTCCCAATAGTTAAAACTGTGGAGTTAGGAGATTTCATCCGAAATTAGTAGGGTTTAAGCCCAAATAGTGTCCCATAATGAATCTTGGTCAAGATAGAAACTAGGGTTACTGCTTTGAAAGCTTTCATCAGAACCAAATCCGTCAAAAGATTGATGAGATGATGATTGTGGAGATTGGCCTGTTTCAATGCAAAACAAAGCTGCATATTGGCATTGAATATTGAATACCTCAGCTTGAGCTTTGGCTAGTTGCGCTTGTAGTTCGTTTACTTGGTTCTGTAGTTGAAAAATGGCACCCGCACTTCCATATACAGGGTCTCTGATTCTTGCGTTTGCCTCGTACACCATGCTACTAACTGCGTCACCTCTTTGAGATTCTGGTAATTCCTAAGAGTTTAAAATGATGTCAAGAATCTGATAATTTAGAAATTCAAATTGTTCTAAAACAATGATCATCTAATATTTGTAATGTTGGTTATGGTTAACAAAATTTATACTAATAAATAAAAACCAATTTTCTGCCACATGTCATGTCCTCATTGATTTGGATACATAGAATTTTAATTGATTTTTAAAATTTACTTATTTCCACATATAATTTTCTGATTTGTTCACATATCACAACTTATTTCGGTTACAATATTAAGAAAAATAAATGCTTCCTTGAAAAACAATTGATATATTTATAATGTAATAAATATCATAATTAATGAGAATTCTAAAACTGATATTGATATTAATTATTTTTTTTAAATTTAAAGTTTAAATATTAATATTAAATTTTTATTTTTAATAAACCCGTGTAGTATACGGGTTTGTTTTACAAATTTGACTTCTAAAAATATATGTTATGCATATGATTATTATTTACGAATTGTCGAATTCTGTAGAGAATTATTTTCATATAAAACAACTATTTATAGAAGTATATGTAATTAATATCTTGGTGTTTTCTTTGAAAAGTCATACGATAAGACATACTATCGACATGGTCAGATACAAAAGAAAAGACAAGTGAAGCAGACTAATTGTAGTTTTTTTTCTTGATTTTATTACTTTTGGAACCATGTTGGTCAATGAGAACAAGTATGAAAAGACATTTGAAATGCGAGCAGACTGTGGAAATGTCTTTTCGCGACAGGATTTTTGATAAATAAGGTTTGGCAGGGTAGTTGACACTCAACTCCTATTCTAAATTTAGCATTTTCGATTTTGAATATTTATGTTTGTTTTAAAATTTCATTAATTTTATTAAAATATGAAACATTTCATCATTTTATATGGGCATTAGGATAAATAAAAAAAAATATGAGGATATTTAATTTACGTTCTATTTAATAAGTAGATCATGTGATATCATTTATTTGTGTTATCTACTCGATATTTTAAGTAATAGTTATCAATTTATTTTTGTTATTTTTGAATCATGAAATTGTGACAGAATTACTAGGGCATATGTAACTATATATGGTTTGTTTTGGTCCTAAGTGAGTAAGTGTCATGGCGTAGCTAAGTGGTAGGTTTGTCTCCTTTTCTAATCCTTTGTAGTTGTATATTTAGGTAGCAATAATTATTTGCATAATATCTTCTTAACATTGATTTACCAATACGCCACTTAAAACTACGTTTATTTTGTTTCAAATTAAATATAATATTTTAAAATACGTGATGATTTTATTAAAAATTTTAATCATACAGTAAGACATTCAAAGTACAGCCCTTAACAAAGTTAACGCAAATGATGATTCCAAAAAGAGCGAGTCCATAAAATCCTTACAGAGCATTACTATATACTGAAATTTTATTTATATAATTTTCTTACCTGTAAAAACTTGATTATGTTGCTTGAACCAAATACACGATGAGCCATAATGAACTTGAGAGGTTCATCAGGAGGAAAGTGAGGTGCCAGGACGCATGTTTCCGCACATCTCCTTCTTAAAATCTTACAAGCCGCACAAGGTGTCACTACAACTGACATAGGAGGAGAGCTTGTCGATGGTGAGGAAAGTTTTGGTTGCAATGTATCATTTGCATGGTGGCTAGCCATATTTCTATTATTGTGTGTTTATGAGAGAATGTAAACTATTGTATAGAGGTCAAAAGAGTGGGGATAGATTGGATTGTTGTGAGTACGTGAATATATATAGAGAGAGAGGATGAAAGTGAAACAAAGAAATTAATTCTAGAAAGTTGGTGAAAGGGCCCAGGAGATAGGTTGACCAGATAGGGAAAGGATAGGGAGGTACTTTTACAATCAATAATGTTGATTAATAATTATCTGGTTCATACATCATTTTTGGAAAAGTATCATTAATTTCCGCTGAGAAAATAATAAGGTTTGTTTGTTTTTTTGTTTGTTTTTTTTTTTTTTTTCCGAAATGGCAAGTATCATTAAAAAAGGGACACAAATAGCAAGTGGCTAAACCGTGACCAAAATACAATGACAAAAGAAAATGTAAATGAAGGAAAGAAAAGAGAAAAAAAACATAAACATAAAAAAAAAGAACAATGAATTATAGTTTTAGATGTTCAAATGGGAGCAACTCCAATCAATCCAATTCCTGCACCCATGAGAACTCCTATGATTGCACTATGAAATGGAAGTGGCAATGATGTTGTCTTCTACAATAGTTGGATTAGCTTTGATATTTTTAAATACCTTGTCATTCCTAGCGAACCAAATTAGACAGAATAAGATTGAACTTCCAATGGATTACCTTTTTATGCAATAATCCCAACATGAGATCGAGTCTAAGAGATCCAGAATTGTGAATCTCCTAGCTTGTAACCCACACCAATTAAAGATCCACGATTGAACAGTTTGAGCGAATTTCCAGTGAAGGAAAAGATGTTCCACCGACTCCGTGTTTTTATTACATAAGAGACATGTTTGGTTTGGAATGTGCAAACCCCTGATCAATAATGATTTTGCCACCGGAATCCTATTCAATACAGTGCGCCACACAAAACATTGGACTTTTAGTGGTATGAGTTTTGACCAACATATAGTGGGGCCTTTATATGAGATCAGTTTGGAGTCTATAAGACGCCTCATGCAGTTGACTTTGTATTCCCCACCTGTTGTCATTCCAAACCTGAAACCATAAGAACTAGTAGTTGTATTGATTTCTAAATCGACAATGTTCTTATAGAGATGTAACAGTTCTTAAAGTTCAATGGGTTTAGAAGGCTCATGTTTCCAAACACAGGAGAATCCAGATTCACATAGTCGATCACCAAGGAGACAACATTTGATCGATTCAAGAGCATATAAATGAGGGTAATTTTGTTGAAAGGGAGTTGTGCCACACCATACATCTTTCCAAAAGAGAATTTTGACATCAGAACTTGGAATAAGGTTAAAGAGTTGTTGACTGTCAATATTCATGACATCAAGAGCCATAACAGCTTTAGAGATATTACACCAAACTCCAGTGGATGTCTTTCTAGCTATATAAGTAGCAGGTTTCTTTCTCAGATTGGGAATGCTGGAAATTACATCTTTCCAAAGACTCCTCTGATCGTTCATCAGTCGTCACCACCATTGAATCAACAAGGCTAAGTTTTGTGCCTTTAAAGTTGTCACACCCCGAAACCAATGACGGAAACGTTCCGGGGCGGAGGACGTCATGTAAAGTATCACAACCAATGTACATAGTAAGCACAGTAAACACGACCATTACATTACATAGAAGTATTTACATTTGTTTGAATGTAAAGTAATACATGTTTTATCTATACATTAGTTTAAACGAAAGTAAAGACGTGTTTGATAAAACGCTCCGTCTTCTCCAAAAGATCGCGGGATACCTGACTAATGTGGACCTGAGAATACAAGCACTTTGAAAATCAGCATAAAGCTGGTGAGTTCATAAGCGGTTTGTTTTCTAAAAATGAACAAGTTTCCTTTAGTTTTTCGAAAAGTTGTTATCCAAGAAAATCCCATATTTTCTTATAAGAAAAGTTTAGTTATCCGTTTGCTACACAATCTGGTTAAGAACAGTTTAGTTATCCTAGGAAAAACCCTTATTTTCCTTAAAAATTGTAGTTGGTTGTCATTTCGGAATGCAATGTACAAGTATCTACCATACTTGCAGGGTTAAGGTAAGTATTTTGAAAACCTGGTTATCCTTGAAAGTGCATTAGTGTTAACATGTATATAACACTAATAAGTGAGTAGAAAAGTTTTTTTAATCTAAGTTGCGAGTTCCATAACCATACATTAGATTGGATAAGGCTCGTACTAGGCCAATATCGTTGATATGACTTTTTTCACCCGTAGACCCGTCGGTCCGACTGTAGCTAGCAGCCAGGTGCTGGGTAGTCAATCCCGTATAGATCTATACACTCAAGTCACGTTCTCCCTCCAGGAGATTCTGGTTACAGGGGTAGTCCTACACTCTCGTATCCGGGGGAGTTTTACCAAGGACGTGTCTCCAATCTTAAGATTAATGAAATTTGGTCCTTCACTCTCGTATCGTGTGGGAGTGTTACCAAGGACGTTAGTAAATCCGGTTGTTTAGTCCTCCACTCTCGTCTTCAGGGGAGTGTTACCGAGGACGTTAGGAAATCTGTTGGTTAGTCCTCCACTCTCGTATCCAGGGGAGTGTTACCGAGGACGTATCGAAAGTTCTGAAGTTGGTGCTTTTAACAGTAATTATGTAGAAAATCATTTGTGAAATATAAAATATAGCATTTTATAATGAGTTTCACAAATAGTTTGAAAACTAGCTCTGCAAGTTAAACGGTTGGTTAATACGATTTCCAATGTTGAAAGCATACGAAATATGAAACATTTCCAATGAAATCATAAGTTTGAGTACAAGATTTCCTTGTACTTTTGCTTGTATTCCCCCTGAAAACATTGAAAACACAGAAAAAGGTGTAGGGGTATGAACTCACCAGTCGAGAATTATGTCGGTTGGATGCTAAGTGTCAGTTCGGGGCTTGAATAAATGCGAGGTTCCTATGTAATATGAAGAGATACACAATTGTATCTAAATAGACTTTAAACTACCAAATAGTAATACAATACACTACGAAACGCAAAAACACTTTATTTCAAGTGTTAGGAGTGATCCGGGTAGCACATAAGGATGTGTAGGGCCTAGATAAGGAGAGTACTCTTCAAGAGTAATCCCTTAGGGGTGTTTACGGTCCAAAGACCATGTCCCCATGAGTTTACGGCTGTAATGTGACAACTGTCAATTCAGGTCATTCTCGGACTCATGCATCTTTATAATAACCATTCATGCACATCATGCCATGGCCTAGTAGTATAAATTAGGTCAAAATCTTGCATAAACTAGGATCCATCTAAGACCTAGGACTAATATACTTGACACTTACGATTCTAGTAAGTTGCTTAACTACAATAGGAAATGCCAATGCTATAATTTGAATGGAACTTTCAAGCCTTGTTATAATTGAAAAAGGGTATAAAACCCTAAAAATAAATTAAAATATTCTAATTATACTTCATTATGATGATGAACATCAAACAATATTCCAAAACCTAAAGAGTCCAAAATCCAAATTTATAAATCTTAAAGCTTAAAAACTTTATAAAATTTGACTGTAAACTTCCAAATATCAAATTTTATTAATCAAATTATGGATTATACCAATGAAATAGAAATATAAATTATCATGCATTAATCATAATTAATTAGTTAAAAACAAGATATTTAAATAAATCAAAATTTTGCTTAAAGAATCACTTTTATAAAAATTAGATTTTTATAAAATTTGAATTGAGGAGAGAGAAGGCCCTAATCCACTAAAAAATCTGGCCATTCTCCCCTCCCCATGCCCTCTCTCTTCCCAAAACTCAATCATTAAGCTCATTCCTTCACACTATCTCTTCTCTCTTCACTCTCTCACACTTCACCCTCCTAACCCACAAACTCTCTTCCTCTCTCTCTCTAAATCACGAAATTTCTCTCATTCCTCTGCCAAATTTCGAGATTTTGAAGACTTTGAAGTGTTCTTACTTCCCTCAAGATCAAAACCAAGGTAAACAACAACATTTTCTCCCATAATTTCATGATTCTACTACCTGTTCTTCTTAGTTTTCTCTTCTTTTCGGATTCTATGTCTTTCCATGGCTAGAAATATTTATTTTTCCCTTGTGGTTTGTAGATTCTCACCATAACACAATGCATGTGTTTGAAATGGTGAAAATCCGGGATCAAACCCATGCAAGGAGTGAAAATGATGCACATATGTTCATGTGACTTCAAAAACAAGTATTTCATCTTCTTCTCCATTTCTTTTGTGTTCTTGCATGATCAAAAGCATTTAAACCATTTCTAGTACATCTTGGATGCTCATTCACTCCATGCATGTGCTAGAAATCGGACCTTATCAAAGGCATGCATGATGTTCTTGTCAAAATGTCCTAAGGATGCACTCAAAACAAACATGCAATCTGCCAGATTACTTTGTTCGACTTTGAACGACCATATCTCAGTCATTACTTAACCAAATCATGATATTCTTTTTGTATTGGATAATTCCATGAGTTAACTTTCAAACCCAACTGGTCTCACTGTAAAATATTAAATATCCGATTTTTGGCAATTTTTACAAAATGGTTGCGCAAACAGCTCTTTTTTTATGATCACCATTTTTGCCTTGCATGATCAATGGCCTTAAACCCAACCATAAATCTGGGGAAAAATACTTTAGAAACTTAAGATATCCAGTGAATTATGGTTGAAATTTCGTGGCTTAAAACCCCACTGAATGGGCTACATAAATTCATGAACTTCAGCCACATTTATATCTCATGCACCATTGCATGCAATATTTCTTAACTTGTTTGGGTTCAATACCCCTATTTCCCTTCTGATTAAATTTTGAACATTTTTCCTTTTGAAAGCCCTCACATGCATGTGATAATCTGTAAAATACCAAAAGCTTTTATTATTTCTTTGATTTATTTAAATTATTGCTAGAAACCAAGGGCATAAATCACATAAAATACTTCCAGAGGTCAATAAATCCGGAACAAATTCATGGATAACCCTTATGATGGATAATGACCCCTCACTAAATTTCACTAATTTTTGTTGCTGTTTGGTATGATTTCCGATTTTCTT